TGTTTATTAATTAATTTTCTCCTTTTAAATCACATTTGAAGCGTCTGCCGGCTATTGAGGTGTACGTACACCCGAAACGAACGCAATCCCGGACTGTTGAGGTGTACGTACACCCGAAACGAAGGCAATCCTCGCGCTTCCTTCGCCGCTTTCCTCTCTTCATTTCCTTTCAGAAATTAAATTTTAATGTTTTATTTCATCTTTTTTTCATATTGCTGCTGCAGTGGAAATCAAACGAAAGAAACGTGGCAAAAAACTGCAACAGAAAAGAAAATGAACTGCAGAAAACTAATCCTCAGGGACTCCATGCCACTTCTTGTTGCACAAAAATCAAAATAAATTAATTAAAAATAAATAAATAAATAAATAAATAAATAAATAAATAATAAATAAATAAATAAATAAAAATCCAAACTCAGAAACAGGCTGATATCCTATCAGACTCGCTGACACTGGCGGGCAGCAAACTTCATTTCTAATACTACTTTTGGTCTTTTATAAATTCAAATGAATTTAAATAACTCTAAATGAATTTAAATAAATTAAATAAATTTAAATAAATTTAAATAAATTTAAATAAATTCAAATAAATTTAAATAAATTTAAATAAATTCAAAATGCAAATAAAGGACAAGCGGTGCACAAATCTGTTCAAAATTCGAGTGTACGTACACCTGAACTGTTTGTACTTTTTGTTTCTTGTTTTCATTTCTTTGCAAAGTTCCAAAGACAAAGGTTAAGAGCCCGCGCTGCTGCGGGCCAGCAACTAATTGCTGCTGCCCTTGCTGCTGCTGCTGCTGCTGCTGCTGCTGCTGCCGCTGCTGCGCTTGCTGGGGCTTTAGCAGCGGCAGGGGAGCAGTTGGTGCTGCTGCTGTCGCCGCGGGGCTTTTCGCAGCGGCAGCAGCTGCTGCAGCTGCTGCTGCAGCTGCTGCAGCAGCTGCTGCAGTTGTTGCTGCTGCTTCATCTTGTGTAATGGCCAGAATGGCCGCATCTGACTCTTTTCAGTTTCTACTTTGATTTATTTCTTTTTATTTTTATTTATTTATTTATTTATTTCTGTTTGCTGTTGACTTCCATCCTGCTGCTCTGTACATTCTAAAGAAAGACGGCAATGGGCCCAAGAGCCCAGCAACGACAGTCACGGAGCTGCTGCTGCTGCTGCTGCTGTTGCTGCTGCTGCTGCTGCTGCTGCTGTTGCCGCTGCTGCGGTTGCAG